CCAAGGCAGTATTAAAAAGAAAATATGAGCGCCAGTCAGAAGTTGAAAAAAAGGCAGCTTGGTGGAAATCTAAATATTTGGTGGAAATGTGTTGATTTCAATTAAAATTTTTAATGGGAAATTTAAAAAAATCATTTTGATAAGGTAAAAATATTTCATTCTGAGTTTATAATTTTGAATCGATTCATTGTGACTTCTATTAAATATTGATTTTGATGTAGTATATTTAAGGAGGAAATATTTAAGTTGAAGGATTGAATAAGGAAATGCACATTTCACCACTCCGTGCCTCAATTTCCCCAACTGTAAAATGGGGAGTAAGGACACTGACCTCCTTTGAAAGTGCTTTGAGATCTACTGACAAACTATGATTGCACAAACAAACATCTATGACCCGCTCCTCAGCTTAACTGTGCCAGTAGCAATAAGTTGCCCTCAAGCTGGCTTTTCTGGCTACTTGCGGATTCTCCTTGCCTAGGGAAATTTTAGATGGTATAGAGCCACCAAAGTGGCTCCTATACCACTTTTTCCATGCACGCCCCAGCACAGTTACTAAGATCAGGAAAAGGGGCTTTGTCAAGAAATCCCTAAAAAGCTGCTGGAACAGCCCTTGGTCGCTGCTGGCAGCTGGCATAGTTTTAGAGGAGCTGTGCCAGGAGACATGGGTGGGGCGCAGAAGGCAGTTTTGCACTGCCTCTCTGAACTCCTTGGCCATACCTCAAGGTCTGGCCCCTCATTTAGTTTTTAGTCTCTGATCTTTGCTTCCACTGAAGTCTATGGCAAAACTCCCTGTGACTTCAGTCATGCAGTATCAAGTCTATATAGAAGAACTAAGTAGTAGAAGAAGTTGATAGAGTGCTGCATGAGTATAAGGGCCTGTCCATGTGATTTTCTTTACATGAAGGGGGCTTAAGTTATGTAACTATATGAACTGTTCATTGCCCTTGTCATCCATTATAATGTTTGTTAGATTATGTTTCATAGCAGATTGTAAGCTCTTTGGGGATTGTAAACCATGCCTCCCTATGTGTCTGGGTAGCACCTTGTACAATGGGTCTGCTGCCCTGACTTGGTCCCTTTGCAGCTAACGGGCTGCAAATATCAATAATAGCTCCATATCAACCTTGGCACTGCTCTGTATTAGACAAGTGGACTGTTACGCTAACATGGAAAATTTATTCCAGGCAGAATATTGTTCAGGCTTATAAAATACTAAATTGATATAGGAAAAATACACTGTATAGACTACGTGACATACACTAATCCTTCCATATTAAATTAATTTAATACTCAATTAAGCTAATATGATCTTGTACTAATACTGTGGAGTGACTGCCTTCTGATATGCATATGAATTACTGTTAGTATCCAGTTAGACAAATGGAATGCACTGGCAGATACTACATTGAATGAGCCTGGTTTTGCTGAACATTTGTCATTTATATCTATTATCCTACCCTGGGTTCTCACAGCAAATACTGTATTTTTGTTATATTCTGCAAAGTAAAGTCTTCATAGTATCATCTTTAGTTAGGTGAATGACATGTGCCTTCACATTTTCAGATTTGAAACTAAGCACATATTATATAACTCAGCTCCTCCAACACGTAATATCCACACTCTTCTCAGTCAGCAGGCAATCTATATGGCTGAGTTTGCATCTTATGCCCAGTCCAGATGTTCTCCCCAAATAATATCCCAGGGTGTAGCGTGTAGTAAACCAGATCAGGATCATGGTCTAGGATTTGAATCAAAATAGCTCTTCAATTTCCACAATTAGAAAGGTGCCTTTGATGATAAAAGCACATGCATCTTGAAGCACAAAGACACTAGTTGTCATAAGCATAGCCTTATGGTTCTCTCCCTTACACGTGTTACACTTTTGAATGCTCCAAAATGCACAAGACCTTACTATGCAATATGAAAATCTGAAGATTACTGAATGATCTAAACGACACGCTTAGAAAATATTGGAGATTGTGGAGATATTAGAGATTGTGTTGTCCCAGCAGAAAGTGCTGCTCATTATCATACAAGAGGACTGGGTTTGGGAGCCTCCAGATGAATCTTCTGATTGTAGTGTACAACCCTGAAAGAAACACGTTGCCTCTGAGCGCAGTGGGTGAGAGGTAGAGCGGTCTGGCAAAATTGCCATGAAAATTGATAAGCTGCTGTTCAAATTCTACTCACACACTGTTTACCTGGATGATGGAAAAGCTAATGAAATTTTACTCACTGGTCAAATAAATAATTCTGTCTATGAATTAGTGGGCAAGGTGGCTTTTACCGAGATGTTGAAAATTGCATCTGATTGCATTGTGGGTAGTCATAAAAGGATTAATCCTGCAATATCTGCATTCATGTGAGAAAGGAAGGGAGGATTGCGCCCTAATGTTGTGCCCTGTCAGGTTTCTGTCCTTTCCATTCATGGTGTGTTTGCTGAAAGAAAAGGGCCAAAAGGTGACCCTAAATAACGTGGAGACTATAGCTTTGCTCTCACGTTAGAGAAGAGGCAGGCCTGTGTATAGGGTGACCAGACAGCAAATGTGAAAAATCGGCATGGAGGTGGGGGGTAATAGGAGCCTATATAAGAAAAAGACTCAAAAATCGGGACTGTCCCTATAAAATCGGGACATCTAGTTACCCTACCTGTGTAGTTCCATTCTTTATTCAGCCTTCTGGGCAGAGAGAGTCCCTGCAGTTCTCCATGGCTGTTTAGCTCTTAGGCTAACTAATAAAGCCTGTGATTGCAGTGTCCCCACACGGGGTTTCTCCCAGGCTACACTGTTGCACATATGCTCACATACATTCCCTATGCCTGCACTGAGGGTCCACGTATGCTGTGCTGAACATAGGTATAACACTGTGTACACATGATACCTGTATATACACTGCCACAGTTGTTATGTGACATTAGCACTACCATTTCAGTGGTGGTATCCTAGGGTTCTGTGCATCACAGGGAGATGCTCTAGGAACAGCTTTGCTGTATGTCATTGGCACTCTCCCCTGCCTTCACACATTTTCCGATGGCAGTTCCTTCTCATATCCCTCCCACCAAACTGGGTGGCTGACATGGAGCAATGGGATGATGATGTGGTTCTGCTGCGGCTGCTTTTTGGGGGACAAATGGTTATGCAGTGGAGCAGGTGATTTGTGAGATGCTAGCAGAATTTGGACATAACTTTCTGACACATCAAAGATGGCTGAATGACAGTTCATTCAGTTCCCATGGTACAGATAGGGTGAATGCTGGTATTGCCACGGTATGCCTGTGGGTGGACCATTGCTTCTGGTGCAGGAAAACCAGCACAGTTTGGTGGGATCACATCATTTTGGAAATCTGAATGACCAGCAGTGGCCTCAGAACTTTTGAATGAGGAAACAGACCTTCATGGAGCTGTGGGAGGAGTTTGCAACAAACCTCAGCACCTGAACTTAATTCGGGGAAGCCATACTGGTGCAGAAGCATGTGGTTACTGCTCGGTGGCAGCTGGCAACACCAGACAGCTATAAGTCCATTGCAAACCTCTTTGTGGTTGGAAAGTCCACCATTGGAATTGTGCAGGGTTGTGAGGCAATTAACATTGTGACCTACCCATGGGTTGCTGACATAAGAAAAGTTCCAGAAATAATAGCTAGATTTCAGAGGATGGGGTTTCCAAAGTGTGCAGAAGCCACTGATGGCACCCATATCCCAGTACTTTGCCCACTAAAAGGAGCGAGTATGCAAACTGAAAAGGTTACTTTTCACTTGTTCTGCAATGCTTAGTGGGCCACAGAGGCAGATTCAAATATCAGAAACACTGGAAAGGTTCATGATGACAGGGTGCTTAGCAGATCGAAACTGTACATGAAGGGCAAAAAGGGACTTTATTCCCCAGAAACTATATGGTTCTAGATGGTGTGTTTGTGCCAACTGTTATTTTGGGGGATACCTCATACCCTTTCCTAACTTGGTTCATGAAAACATACCTGAACATTAATGACCTTGGGAAAAGAGAGTTCAGTTACAAACTCAGCAGCTGCACGATGGTTGTGGAATGCAAATTTGGTAGGTTGAAATCCTGTTGGATGCCAATGAGACCAACGCTATTCATATAATCATCATTTGCTGCACACTTCAAAACGTTTGTGAGAGTAAAGGGGAGTCCTTCTGTCCCAAGTGGAAACAGGACAAGTCTGCAAACTCTATAGAGGCAGCCAGATCCCATTCACATGTATACTGTCCCAGCCCAGCAGGCAAGGAGACTGAGGGATGCCATATGTGCAAGCACCTTGACACAACGAGGAGGCAGAGGATGACATCTGCCTGTGCTGAGGGACACCTTCACACACTATGCAGCTGCTAGAAATGCAAATGAGGGAACATTGACACATATTTGTGGGGCTATGGAGCTTTATGAGGATTCCCCCCCCTCCCCTCCTGTAGCCAAAGATCATTAGCTGTTTGTTCCTGTGACAATTTACACAAAACAGACAATTATAACATGGCACCTCCACTGGTTTAATACCTTTGGGTTGGCTTTGTTCTTTGGGGGGGTGCAGCTGAGCTATAACATGGTTGGAACTGGTCAAGGTTTGGGAAGGGGAAGGAGAGGCTGTTTAATCATTGGGTAGTGGCAAATGCTGTCTTTGCCTGTACTGTTACTTAAAATGTGTTTCGTATTTCTGCATGTCAACCAAGCCATAAAGACATTTCTCTTCCCATTTTCTATGTTGTGGGTTCTGCTGCATTTAGAACAGCAGTGCTTTCTGTGAGCATGTATCACTAACTGCACTTTACTTATCCCACCAATGTATCCTTGGGACTGCAGATTTTTTTAACATGGGAGGGCAGGGCTTGTGGGTGTGGGACAGACAGAAAAGTAGTCGCATTATGATGGCACCAGACAGTTACACCATACCAATTCTGGCGCTGTGAATTGTGGGGCCCAATCCTGAATCTGAAAACACCTTATATTCGTCATACTTAGAAAGGAGGGTCCAGACATAAGTCAAAGGAAGTCTAATATTTATTAGCAGTATTATATGGAATATGTAATTGATTTTTTTTAAAATGAATGTAGATCCACAAAACATGAGACTGAATCTGTGAACAACAACCCAATGTAAATGTCTCTGTACCCATCTCCTTGCCCTCCCCTGACAAAGGGCGAATGATGGGGGAAAATTGTTCATGGGGACAATTGGGGGGGTCTTGTGGAGGGGTTTGGCGTTTGGGGAGCAGGCACTTGGTTGGCTTTAGGGACTTCTGTAGACTCATCATTCCCCTCCTGGATGCTCAGCGGAGTCTCCCTGTGAGGGGTTTCAGATGCTGGTGTAGGGTATGGTCCTGGGAGTCCTGCAGGCTCCTCCTGGTCACTTGGGGTGGTTGGGTCCTCCACCTTAGCAGCACGCTGGGCAGCAGGTGGAGGGAGAGGTGCCAGTTCATGGAGAGGTGCAGTGGCCACAACAGCAGGCAGACCCCAGAATTGTTCAGCTACCAGTTCTATCAGCCTCTCCATTAGGGAATGCTCCTGTTCCCTATGGTGTGCCTCCTGCTTCACGAGCTACTTCATCAGTGTCTCTTCCTGCTGAAGAGTCCTATCCTCCCATGCCCTTAGGAATTAAAACTGTTCCTGGTTTCTCCTGTCCATGCCAATGAGCAGCTTCTCCACAGCCCTCCTCTGTCTGCTGTCTCTGGGGTATTTCTCCTGGCGAATAGTTTCCATCTTAAGAGCCAAAGGTCCAGCCCATTGAAAGAGAAGGGTGGCATTAATTTTTCCCTGTTGAAGAAGCTGATAAATCCCCCCACATAACATGACTTTGCTGTAGAAGGCCACAATTTTGATACTTTTCATCATTCCAGGAATGCAACTGCTAGACTATCCTTGGTTCAGACAACTGTTGTGCCCCATGAGGAAAGAGCAGAAGCTAATAACGGTAAGAAAAATGTACTAATGTTTTTAAAAATGTAAAATGTTCATAGTGTCTAAAGAGTGGACTAGGATGCAGTGGCAGTTTCTTCCAGGGGCTATGTTACCAGATTGCAATGTCTTCTTTAAAGCCTTGTCAACTTTTGGAGAACATAGCAGTTTTCAAAAAAACAGAATGGAAAGGAGAAGTGACTTTCCAGTCATGTGGAGGAGATCCAGGAACTATGCCAGAGAGAGGTTTCTGCTAATGGTTACCACTCTACATATTGTTGAATGCTGGGGTTTGGTCAGCTATGAAGATGGACCAAGCTGGAGTTTCAGCTACACCAGAAATGTATTGAAATGTGCTTACAGGCATGGGAGGCAATTTGACTGGAAATTGACTGTATTCTCAACTAGCATATGGAGTGTGCAAAGGGAGATGCAAGATACGTAATCTGATTGTAAGGGGATGGTAAGATTGGGGACAGGGGTGAAGCACTGGAACAAGGGACAAAAGACAGCTGTAGTTAACTATACGTTTCCTACAACTGTCCCATCCCAAACCGGGACCTTTCTAAACCTGCACCCTCCCTTCCTCTGGTCCATGCAGCCCTGGGACCATCACTGCCTACATGCTGATTGAGAAATTCACAGACACCGGGGCACAATGATTGTTTCTTAATAATGTTTTATAACTTCTGCCAAATGCATCATAGTAGTTCATCAGAAATCAATAAAATTGTTGATTTATAGCCATATCTTGCTTGGGGACCATTTAAAGGGTTGAAGCTGAGCGGGAGCTGGGCTTAAAATCAGGAATGCAGCATCAGAGCAAGAGAGGACATTGGGAGAGTGGGTGGGGGTCCATTGTAACTTAGCCTTGGGTTTTGGTTCCTGACACAGCTCTCAGTCCTCCTTGGGTTTGGCAGGGGGATCTGCTGGGGAGGAGTGCAGAATCACATGCTTTTTGTCCTTCAGTAATGCCGAAGCATCTTGTCCCTGTTGCCACTGCGCCCTGGCCCTCATTGGCATCTTGTTGGACAATGAGCTCAGCGGGGTTGAGGGGCTTGTGAGCCACTTCAAGCTCTGTACTGGGAACCCTTAGCATCATCCTGCTATTTAGACTCACACAAATTTGATTAGAGCTAGTGTGAGTATGTGTACAGGAGCAAGGGAATTGTACCAGTAGCTCATTGTGTAGATATAGCCTGAGGGGCCTGATACAAAAAGGGTGTGTGTGAGAGAGAGAAACTATGTTAATTACAGCAACCCTTATTGAAAAGACGCAAATGAGTTAGCCTACTCTTCAGTTTCTTCTTATTATCCAGGTAATACCAGAAGTTGTTTTTCTGTAACAATAAGATTTGACAGTTGTTTTTCAACTTTTGCTCATTGTGCAATAGCAGTGCACACAGTGCTGAATTTCCATTAGCACTTGTTACTGTTTTCACAGCAAAATGATGGATGGTGCCATTACTGGTACAGCTTTGTGAAAGAAAAATGAAGCCTGTGCTTTTTAATTTTTGTAGTTACGGCAATTACCCCAATTACTTTCAAATTATAGTTTGCACAGGCCCTATACCACATTTGAACAACCAAGAACAACCATTCTTCAACTTTCTCTGATATCTGAATGCACAGCATCCAAACTCTGGGCCTTTTACTGACCCTCCCATGAGTTTGTGGAAAGGTCCTCTGAGTTTAAGAATATAAAGTACTTACAGAAACAGAACAGGGTCATTTTCATAAGACTTAACTATCGTACATGCAAAAGGACCTTACACTTTAATTTATATCACACAGGCAAGTTTGGATCAAGCCCTATAATAATAATGGCACATTCCTTGCCATCTAAATTCTATAGATAGATAAATAATCTATCATTTGCGTGACTGTACGTCTCTGTATAGCACTGCTCTAATTTGGCTATATGTATTTCTAATATTTGTACCAGGGAGTCTGTAGCTAGTAGAGCTGAAGGAAGCGAATCAAGGTCAGGTGGTCTGTTGCCCCTCAGTTAGAACAGTGAAGCACATAACTTCCATACTCCTAAGTATGTACCACACAGAGGTTCATAATTTTGTGCAAAATCCTGCTCCATTGTAATAGAGAAGCCCACAAGTATAAATCCCCTCTGTTTCTTAATGAACCCTCACCCTTAACACCCAGGGTAATTCAATGCACCTAATTAGACATATAAAAAACAGATGATATGTATTGAAATGGATATTCAAAGATTTAGGATTGCTACTAGCAGTACCTATCACGTTTACAATGGCAGTAGCCATATCATTTTTTATTACGATGTACATTGCTAGTCATATAAGTCAACATCCTTCATGCTTGCTTCTGATCTGTTGTGAGACCAGCAAAATGTACTGTTGTGATTTAGCCTGATACAAAGTTTTACCCACAGTATATTATATGAAACACAATCATTCTTACCAACACATTTATTTTCTGAGGAAAAGAGATTCCCCTATCGTGTTTCTTGTACCCAACCAGTTATCCTCATTCTTACAACCCCCCCTTTTCATATCTTCCTGTTGACAGCATGATTTATTTTTTCTGGTAAAGTAGCAGCATGCTGATCAAAGGTTTATAGAGCCTTGCCTCTCCTTGAATTGACAAACAAAGGTGCAACAAAGACAAGATCTAAAAGTTTGCAAACCATTATCAAAGCAACAGAACTGGCAAACATCAAACGATCCTAAACAAGTAAAGAGATGAGAGCATCTGTGCTGTGATCCATATACACAAAATCCGTTGGGCTGTGGAATGAGTTGTGCAATATGAGGTACAATGCAGTATGATTCAGACCTTATTTTGTAAAAATTTTAAGGAAGCAATCTAAATATTTTGCATCAAATCCCAAAAAATATTGCATCTGTAATAGAGCTGAGCCCATCCTAAACATCAGACTGAACACCCTCAGATTCTGAGGAAATCCTGAGCTGCATCAAAACATTGCAGCTTCAACCTGTGTCTAGTAATACACGGTCTTTCCCCTTGAAGGCAAACTGCAACATTTGTCTGGTTTCTGTTTTTTGTTTTTTGGGGTTTTTTTTGCAAATCTGTGATGAAATCCTGGCCCTATTGAAATCAATGGGAGTTTTGCCATTGACTTCACTCGGGTCAGGGTTTCACTCCTAGTACACTAAGGCTTACAATGGTTCTGGAAATGTTTGGAGTTCAGGTGGAAACAATGAAAATCAATGACATTGTTCTGAGCCAGGCAAAAGGTGACCACTATAGGGTGAGTTTTGTTTTGAGTTTTTGGGAACTACAAATGTCACATACACCTTAATGCAGCCAAGTTGTGCAATAGGCTGTGAGATGCGAGGGAGATGGTGAAATGCATAGATTTTTAAGGCCAGAAGTGACCATTAGTTCATCTAGTCTATCCTGCATAACACATAGATCATAGAACTTTACCCAGTTACCCATATACTGAGTCCAATAACTTGTGTCTGTTTATCTTCTAGAAAGGCAGTCAGCCTTGATTTGATGACATTGAGAGATGGTGAATCCTCCACTTTTCTTGGTAATTTGTTCTAATGGTTAATCACCCTTGCTGCTAAAAATGTGTGCCTTATTTCTAATTTGAATTTGTCTGGCTTTAACTTCCAGCCATTACTTCTGGTGATGCCTTTCTCTGCTAAGTTAAAGAGCCTTTTAATACCTAGTATTTTCTCCCAACGAGGATAATTGTGCACTGTAATCAAGGCACCTTTCAATTACTGTTTTTGCTACGTGAAACAGCTCTTTAAGTCTCTTACTATAAGGCATTTTTCTCCAGCCCTCAACTAATTTTTATGGCTCTTTTCTGCACTCTCTCCAATTTTTCAATGTTCTTTTTAAAAATGTGAACATCAAACATGCCCATTCAACTGTTCTGTCACACACAGGATAGAAACTCCAAAATCTAGCCCCTTCTCTGTACTCCACATCCATCCCTGCTCCCCCTCAGTGTCCCTGGGAAGGAGTTGCCACTGCAGCTTGGAGTGCACAGACTTGGTTCAATAGGATCACAATACCACTGAAATTTGGCCCAGCTGCCCATCCATCTGGCACTACAGAGGGAGAAGCTGGGTCGAATTTCAGTGGTGTTGCAACCCTAGGCATCAAATGCCCGAACACCACTCTGGCCTGGATTTCAGGTGCTGGAGGGATGCTATGTACTATTCTGGCAACAGTACTTTCTTGCCCTCTAAATTGCATGGACCCCTGTGCAGCTGCACCAGCTATTCCTCCACCAGTGGAATTGTACACAGTATTTTAGTATCAATGTCACCAATGCCATATACAGAAGTAAAGTCACCTCCCTACTTCTACGCACTACTTTTTTGTTGATATATCCAAGGAGTGCATTGGCCTTTTTAGCCACAGCATCACATTGGGAGAACATGTTGAGTCAATTGTCCACTATGACCCATAAATCCTTTTCAGAATCACTGATTTTCAGGATACAGTTCCCCCACTCTGTAGCTGTGGTCTTCTTCTTGTTGTTGTTTTTTTTTTCAGATGTATGCCCTTTTGTTTGACTGTATTAAAATTTCATTTGAATGGGCCCAGCTTACCAAGCAATCCAGATCACTCTGTATGATTGCCCTGCCCTCATCACTCCACCAATCTTTGTCATCCACACATTTTAGCAGTGGTGATTTTGCATTTACTTCATGGATAACAATACTGAATAGCATCAGGCCCCCACTGGTCCCTGCGGAATCCTACTAGAAACCTCCCCATTCAGTGATGATTCCGCACTGATGACTAGTTTTGAGATCTATCAGGCTGCTCCTGTGATCTCTTCCCCACTGTCTCCCATGGACACGCCTTCCAAGACACAGGCCGCTTCTACCTGCAGTCTGTCCCGAATGGAACTCTGTGGTTCACCCCGCTTTAAACTGGATCACCAGGCTACAACCATGGGCATAGTTTGGGGGATGCCCGCGGGCGAGGGGGGGGGAGACTGCCTTCCCAAACAGAGGCGAGATGGGGGGGGTGGTCACGCGGGGTCATATGCGACTCGCCCTCGCCTGATTTCTGCCCTGCTGCAGGCCTTGCTCTGCTCAGCCCACCTGGGAGTGGAAGGGGGGGGGGCTCTTTCCTTCCCACGCCGCACTCCCCCCGCCCAGCACATTTCGGCTCGCGGGGAGTGGAGGGGGCGGGACGAAGCAGCTGTTCGTCTGCGCTCTGGGTCGCTGCCTCAGCAGCTGGACGCCGCCTCCTGGGTCTTAGTGCCCACCTGTTTCCCGTACAACAGTGCGTGCCTGCGGGGGGTGGGTGCGGCAGGGGAAGGAGAAAGGGATGGGGCACGAGACAGTGGGGAGGGGACGACGAAGAAGAGAAGGGGATCTGGGAATGGGCGGGGGAAGCAGGAACCCGGCATGTGTCAGTCCCTCGGCAGCAGCAGCAGCAGGGAGGCAGCCGCTCCAGAGCAGTGATATCGCTGCAGCAGCTGATGCCGGAGTAGCCTCCAGCAGCTGCTCGGGTTCTCCTGTTAAGCCTGGGTGGCAACCCAGGTATCACTCCAGACAGGGGGAGAGAGCCAGTGAGCCCAGGAACTGGCTTCCGTGTGCACATGTGTGCGTGCATGTGTCCCCTCCCCCCCAATATCGCGGTCAGACTAGGCCTATGGCTACAACACACCCTATTCCCATTGTCCTGCCATGGCTGCAGTGCGTGCTGTGCCTCATACCCCCTGGCAGTTCTGCATGAGCGCACTCCTCAGGTGACAAGTTTTGCTACTTTCACCGCTGTCCAAGTGGAGCCCTGCAGCTCTACCACACCCAGACTGACCCTATGTGGCAACCTCCCTCTTTCTGACTGTATTACCATGAGCGGCCCAAATGTAATTGAGACCTGCAAGCCATTCCACTCTGGGTGCCTGTGACTGTTAATTGATTAAAGTGACTCAAAACAGCTCCTTCGAAACAGACATATTGTTCATTCACCCAAAAGTATACCACAGTTAGGGGGAAAAGGTTACACCACAAAAAGGCCTGCATGCCTGGGGCTTGCTGCTGCTCATAGTGTCTCTCAAAGCTGCAGAGCCCCTGCCTTAGTTCCACAGCCCTGCCACATCAGCATCTCTTAGGGTGACCAGACAGCAAATGTGAAAAATCAGGACAGGAGGTGGTGGTGGTAATAGGAACCTATATCAGAAAAAGACCCCAAAATCAGGACTGTCCCTATAAAATCGGGACATCTGGTCACCCTAGTGTCTCTCCTCAAGAAGCTGCTGCCTATTTATTCTTCTTTTCCTCTAGGCCTGGCTTTTTACAGCTTAGTGTTCTTTTGATCTTAGTCCCTGGCCTTGGAAATATAGGCCTCCTGGCAACAGGCAGGTAGGGAGTTCCCGACTAGCTCACCAATTGTTTCTCTTAAGGACCCTTTGGTATTGTCCCTGGAAATATCTTACCTCTATCATTATTTCATTTCCTGCTTGCTCCTTCCTAACAGTCTTCTTTGATGTATGTCCATGCAGTCAGCCAGAATAATATCAAGTAAGTAAACTGAGGCACGTTTAATCATACAAAATAGTTCTCCACATGATATAACCTGTATAGGGCTAATCTTTTAAATCAGAATATTGTGTAGTACTAAGTCAAACTTACACAAAGTCTACGTATTTTACATCTATGCAGTTACCTTTATCAACCAAACTTGTAATCACAGGAGAAAATTAAATCAGGTTTGTATGACAAGATGTATTTTTCAGAAATCCATGTCGACTGGCATCAATTATATTCTCATCCTTTAATTCTTTATTAATTGAATCCTATATCAGTTTTTCCATTATTGTGCTTCGTATTGATGTCAGGCTAACTGACCTACAGTTACCTGGATCCTCCAGCTCATCTGTTTTGAATAATGGCACAATATTAGGACATTTCCAGTTTTCTGGAATTTCCCCAGTATTCCAAGATTTATTAAAAATAACATCAGGAGACCAGAGATCTCCTCAGCCAACTCTTTTAGGATTCCTGGGTACAAGTTATTCAGGCCCACTGATTTAAAAATGTTTAGCTCTAGTAGATGCTGTTTAACATCCTCCTTAGTCACTAATGGATTGGAATATAGTTAATCATCCACATGTGATATTTGTACATCTTCCTGCTTCTTTCCAAATACAGAACACAAGTATTTATTGACACTTCTGCCTTTTCTGCATCATTATTAAGAATTTTACCATATCCATCTAGTAACAGAGCTATACCATTGTTAGAGAGTTGTTTGTTCCTAATATTTGTAAAAAAAAAATCCAAAACCTTCTTATTGTCTTTAAATTGTGCTAGTCATGGCTTTTTCACTTATTTCTTTTGCTTTTCTTATCACTCTTCCATATATCATAACTTCTATTTTATATCGATTGCTCTCTCTGATTCCCCTTATTTTTCATTTCATGCACCAATATCCTGGAGAAATGTCTGTGCTCAAAAAGAAAACTCATTGAAAATACCATTCAAATTTAAACACATGAACAAATGTCGCAACTTACACTGAATCCATTCCACTTTAGAGGTCTTTTGACATACTGAATCACTTAATCTGTGCTCCAACAATTTATTATTTCACCAGATGCCCTAATGCAATTTCTTCCATATATTACTTTTTGCTAGTCTCTGTTTTTCTGTTTAATTAATAGTGTGGGATTTTTAGTGAATCCTTTAAACCCATTTTGAATGCATCAAAATTTTTCTTCTTTCAATGTTCAAGGAAGTGTAGTTATGCCATTCTGATCAGTACATATTGTCATAGCATATTGCAGATTAACAACAGCTTCTTGACAAACTGAAGCCTTCTTTTCCATTTGTCTGGGCACTTAGTGCGCAGCAGGCTAGTGTGGTGCAGATTTATACCCAGCTCACCATACACTTAGCGTCTCCATGGGGTCAAAGCCTTAATCTAGAATAACTCCACTGATTTCCATACAATTACACCAGTGTAAATAAGATCAGACTCTTGCTCTCTTGTCTTTTTCTTTCTCCCATTATTTCCTTTATCTTTAATCCTACATTTTGTTTTAGCCTATGTCCTTTTGTTTTCATCTGTCACTTCCCCTATCATATTCTAGTCTATTTCAATTTACCCTGTGTTTTTCTCCTCCTCCCACATCCAATACAAATATGTAGACTTGTTTAAAATGAGGTTAAATGGTATTTCTCCTGGATTACACAGGAATACACCTGTGGGGAGCCCAGCACTGCTTCCTCGTGTCTTTTAATTCCAAAACAATGTTAATGGTATAGATTAATGGAGAGAAAGAGACAATTATAACTGATCCTAAATTTAGAATTATGGGCCTGGATCCAAAGCCCACTGAAGACAATGAGAGTCTTTCCATTAACTTCAGTGGGTTTGGGATCAGGCCCAAGATTACTTTGGTATTTTACACTGCTTTATTTTGAAGCTATACTAAGAACCAGGGAAAACTGCCTTGAAAACTAAGCCCACCTTTATTTTGAAACCTTGACAACTTTTGCCAGGCTCTGGAACTTAATTAAAGTAGTGGAAAATTTCAAAGTGACAAGTAACTAAAGGCCTATTCTTATTCTTTTTCTCTTTTTCAGTTCTTGTGAGCGGAAGAGCAAATGCATGTGGATCAGGTGGGATGAAAGAAAAAGACTGTCTTACATAGTCTCAGAGCTTGTTCATTCATCCAGACACCCACCCAAACTCCCTTCAAAAAACAGAAAAATGACTCCTCTTGACCCCTTTTAATAGTCTCCTATAGATTTTTCTCATGAATTAAGCTGTGTGGGATATCTCCAAGTTCCCATCTGTTTGCACTGTGATCACAGAGCTCTCACTTGTGATTTTAAAAAAATGTTTTGTGCTGAACATTTCTGAAAATGAGAATACACCTTTCCCCCCAACTTTAATTGATACGGACCCTAATACCAATCTAGCTAATGATCTCTCTATACCAGTGGTCTCCAAACTTTTTTGATCACGCACCCCTATCAGTAAAATTTTTTTTTGACCACGCACCCCCAAGCAAAAAAAAAAAGGTGCTCGGACTCCAGCCCAAACTGCCAAAGCAAAAAAAAAAAAGGAAAAGAAGAAAAGCCACCTGAATTGCCAAAGCAGCGCTCCTCTGGTGGCGCTCCTCCTGCCGCGCACCCCACTTTGGAGACCACTGCTCTACACCATAGCTAAGTTAATTAGTCCCTCATTGCATGTAGTTCTTTGGATATCTATAAAGGACCATACATACAAAATATGATTTTAAGCAAGTCTCTTTAAGAATTCTTATCTCTGATCTGCAGTGCAGATTTCAGGCCTAAGCCACCTGTCATTGGCCACAGTCAGAAGACAGGATACTGGGCTAGATGGACCTTTGATCTGACCCAATATGACTGTTTTTATGTTCTTATGTAATCCTGTTCCTATGAAAATCAATGAGAGCAAGATTGGGCTACTCAATTGCATAATTTATACTTATTCCATAGGTTGAACTCCCATGACTATCAGTGGAAGTGCTGGACAGAGAACAAATGCAGAATATGCTATGGATATCTGCAGTAGAGCTCAGATAAGATGCTTTTAAAAGCCCATGATGCTTATATGTCTGCATGTAAACATATTCAAGCCCACCTAGAACCCTAGGTATGTACTTGAGCTGCTAGCTTCTGGTCCTACTTGAGCTGCCAGAGCTTCAGTGTTATTGTTATTCAAACTAGATAGATCGAAGGTAGCTCAGCTATGTCTACATGTGCTTCAGTCACACCTCTGATTGTAGTGTAGACATTTCCAGAGAGGCATAAGATATATATATTAGCCTGTGATGGGTTGCTCTACTCACAGCTGGATGGCGCAGCCTCCTGGCGGTTCTGGAGAGTAGCTAGGTCAGGCCAACGCTCTCTTTATCTGAAGCCCCGCTCTCACTCCAGAAGCTGCTGGGGCCTCTTCATGACTCAGCCCTCCAGGGTGGGGGTTGGGTGGGATGGGGGAGTCTTTTCTCCCAAACAGGCTCAAGCAGTCTTCCTATGCACTGCCCCACTTGTGCCATTTCCCCAGTGGCTGGTGGGGGAACCCAGCGAGCTTCTTTTAATAAACGCTTTCAGCCCTCAGCCTAACAGGTTAATTGGCCCAGTCTGGCCTCCGTTAACTCTTTCAGGGTGAATGTGGGGTGGACACCCTATCACATAGCCATATTTATTAAAGTTTGCAAAGGGAACATGCACTACAACTCCCTGCACCAACTAAGTCAACTATCCAGGGATGGGATTCCACCCTTTCACTCTCCCCACCCCGTAAGAAGTCTTCTATGGGGAGTTATCACATCTGTACAGCTCCTGACTACCCTGTCCCACTCAGTGCTGTAGAGTTCACTGGTATAAGGTTGGGATATAGTTGCTTTATGCCAGAACAACTTGGTTTCATGTTAGACTTTCTGCTAACAGGACATTTTGCTCATGCTGGAGTAAATCTGAGTCTATATGTTTATGAATATGCAACGTGTTTATGAATATGCAGAGTGTTATTGGAATTTCATATTGAATATTTACTATACACTACGTAAAACTGACCTACATGCTACAAAATGACTGGATGGCAATAGTATTTGCATATGTTCAGGTTTTTTTCCTAGGACTGATTAGAAAATTCAAGCTCTTCATTGTTTAGACTCTCTATCTAACTCTTTTTAGATAACAAGTACAAAACCACTATCTAATCCAAGTAGGAAAACAACAGAGCAAATTGAGAATGCTATTGTTCTCTTTTTGCGGTTTATAATGTGCTGTCAGATGCAGGTTTCTAACAGTCCCTTAGGGTAAGTCACAAACAAAAATTATCACATCATCAACTTCATTGCCTCTTCCCAGAATCCCTAGTGTGTCTGTTTAAAGTTTTATTTAACAATGGACTGTATCAAAGGAATATCACCCTTAAATGATTAAATCCATTCCAAATCCAGTGGAAAAGAAGAGTGGGCTGAGGTTTTTCAGGCAGCAACCAGACCTTGGAAAGTTTAATTGTGGATAGTCATAGCTAAAGCTGCATTTTTGTCTCATCAGTCATGGGTGGCATGGAGTCCATGATTTTCTTGTTTTTCAACTATATAGCCGTGATTTTTGGCATGTGGGGACTTTTTCCTGACGGGTGGATGGACGTTGTGGTAACTGTTCAGTTGATTTCACCAGGAATCTCGAGTACTGCCAAGTTAAACCCCAGACTGCATGGCTGGTTTATAAAGAGCTCCAGGAGCTCGGCAACAACAATACGTGATGCAAAGGACCCAACCAGCGAACTCTGGGGATGATGAGGTTTCTTCCTCCCTCAAGGTAACATTCTGTAAGAATGGAGTTTGGTTGGGGTCATAGTAAGGAGAAAAAAATAGTGGATCTATTTTCATGCACCACTTTCCATACCCACTCCTCTTTGGGCACTTCTCCCTTTGCCTTTTCATGATGTCTTCTGCTCCTCTCTCCTGGTGATTGCTGTCCCATTCCCTTTGAGGCTCATCGGTGCTTTCTTTTGCTGTCCGTTGGAGGCTGCTTGCCTCTTTTTCCTGTTTTCTGTGGAAGTAGCGTCATCTCATTCCTTGTCATCTCCTTCCCCTTCAGCTGGCATGAATGAAATTTGGGTTAGGTGGCAGAAAGGTTGCATGCTGGATCTACAGTTTTGCAGATTAGGGAACCAATTGATTGACTATGCAAAAGACCCCAAGTATGTGTCAACCAGACCTGGAAATTCTCACTGAAATCAATGAGAGCTACGTCCATGTATCCGAGAGCAGAACTCAGCTTTTAAGAATTAAAAATCTTGTTTTCAAACTTCACACAGTTGAGAGAAGAGAAAAGCAGAGCATATGTTTATAATCAAAATAATTTTTAAAGAGTGGGCCAGATTGTCAGCTTTTTGTCCAGCTGTTTTGCCATTCTCAAGCAACAAGAAGTAGCCTTTTAACTCCCCTAATAGGTTTAGGGTCTCCTGGCATAGGGCATTCCCCATGGTACATAACCATAGCTTTGCCACTTGCTTTCCCTAGCTTAGGAGGATGTGGCTGGAGTGTGCAGTATTCCAGAAATCTCCTGTCAGCAGAACAGTCCGTAGGGACTAAAAAGTGCAGAAAATCCTACAATTAGCATGATGCAAGAGTGAGTGATTAAACTGAGCTGTGTAAATTAAGAACACACAGCAAGCTGTAGATCTCTGAATCTCTCCAGAAGGATTCTCAACTTGAAATAGCTGGAAGTGTCTTTGTGGTGGTCAAGTTTTCTGTATTTAGTGAGCATTAAGGTTCCGATAGCTCAGCAGGAAATTATCAGTTTTTCAAGTTTCCAGATTTCTAGATTCCTCTCTACCAGTCTCAGATTCAAGACATCAAAGACTTGACTGCACCAATGTATACCTTAAATTACCCAATACAAAAATACAGTTATGTTAGATATGTCTTATTGATGCTACCTGAACAAAACAGTGGAGCGAATCACTGTTATCTATCCTATTATCAACAGCAGAGCTCAGGAGCAAATCTGCTTAAAAATGTGGCTATTTTGCACAATCGAGCACCATTTCAGTAAGAACAGGTGAACTCCTCCAGATAAAACAAAAACCAGTGACCTGAAACACCATTCACAACTTGGAATGAACTCTAATAGCAGGGTTTTGAAGTTCTTTTTTTCCATGCTTTTTTATTTTCATGGTAGTCTCTTCTTTCTAGGTTCTCAGAGAAACCATATTTGCAGTGTTTCTGACCTGGTGGTAGCAGAATGTATCTTTACACATCATATTCTTGAATCCTGCCATATTTCAGCTCAGTTTTTCCACTTCTGAGAGTTTAGGTGTGAAATCTAGGGTTACCTGGACTGATCCTCTGAAAAAATTGACATTTTTAACACCTAGGCATATATGCCCTAGCTTTATCTCAGCAGATGAGAAGGATTAGAACTTCTGGGGTGGGTTAAATTCTTGTAGCAGAAAAATGAGTTGATGCAGACTAAAGCTATTCTTTACTAGCCTCTTTTTATATATAATATGCATATAGTTCCTACCAATGCTGTAGCTGAAAGAGCAGAAATAGAAGCAAAGCTTACATATATACAGCACAAGATTTCAAAAACTCAGCAAAGCAGCTCTGGTCAAAATGTTAGTCAGGCTATTTGCACACATAAGCTGTTCCCAAAAGCTAAGCAAAACTTGTGTGCCTTAATTCCACTCCAAACAGATTCAAATCCCTTGGTAACAAAATGTGTTTGGAGCTGTCCCTCAAAGAAAAGAAAAAAGAAAAAAAACAGCCCACTGTATCCAGCTCCAGATAGGTACCAACATGTCTAGGGATTGTCTGGATTAGTACATTAAACTATTTTAAGATAACATATGTGCAGGAAGTTCAGCTTTAAAAGTCTTAAGCATTGATGGGTAAATTAAGCCAAGGAATAAGCCGGTGAAAATCTTGTTGCCTTCAATGAGATTTGCACCGATTTATGCCACAAATTAAATCCAACCCATGTGATAACCCCCATGGAAACCTTTCAGGAAGTCTCCCTTCAGATATTCATTCCAATAAAGATATTGATTTAATATCTTTATCGCTTTTCAAGTAAAGTTAGCGTGAATTTTCAGTTTGCAAACATTTTGAGGCAAAAATATTCATGAAATCAAAATATTTTTATTCTTACCCCTTTTTTGACCCAAGTGGTTAGCCAACTTTCAGGGTTGTACGGGTTGTTTCAGTTAGGAGGAGAAATTAGTGATGGAGTCAAGTATTTCTTTGCTGCAATCCTGTTTGTTACAGAGAATATACATAATGTCCTGTTTCCCTGAACACAAGAAGAGTCAAGCAACAAGAGACACTTCCTTTGCTCACAGTTCCAAGTCCCTTTCAAGCCAGGATGTAGCCCAAGAACTCTCTATCTCTCTCACCTTTTTCTCAGGGTGGCCCTACCAATGCTTCTGTGACTGTGTCCGGTTCTTCCTTGCTGCCCTCTCTCTCCGCTTCGTTGGTCTTCTGCTGCTTCTTTCATAGACAAACACACTTCCAACCAAACAATAGCCAGTGAAACTTCTCTGCCAACATGTGCTTGTGTTTTGGGTGGAGGCTCCTATGGTTTCAGCCACCTACATCTATAAAAAGCTTAATTGTTTCTTACATGGATCCCAAAAGGAGGGTAACTGCTACACCCACCAGTTTCAACAAGGTTTAATCCAATCCATAACACACACTAATTTTGTGCACAGAATAAAATTCAGTTTAATCCAATCCATAACACACACAGCCAGAATAAAACAGGGCCCAAAATTCACTGACATTCACAAAATCTGGCTTTTTTTTTTTAGAAAAGGTGCTGGCATTTAGTGTGACTTTTATGTCCATCAGGAAGGACTATTGCTATTTTTAGCAGAGCACTGTGCCAACAGATGGTTGGACATGAGGAACTTATTCTTGGATCATGATGGAGGAAAACAGCCCCTCTTTCTTCCAAGTATTAACTAATAAGACACATATATGTATAATAATCATCAGAAATCTGACATTTATATAACATCTTTCATTCTGGAGAATCTTAAAACATTGCCCAAACTACACATACATTTTGGGATTTTAAAAGCAACATGAGGGAAGTTAGCCTCATATCTTCCACATTTGAAAACCTTGATTTAAATTCACAAGTAGTTTACAATAAACACGTATTACCATGAGCTGAGGGCAAATGACGCAGCCTATAGCTTAAGAGTGAGATGAGGCAATTTTTTGCCTGGGTGACCGTAGAAACACGCTTAATCTTATGAAATATGCCATTGGGTTTTCAGTCCCCTTGGAGACAGACTTGACCCTGGGTTTTTAAGGTCCTATCTCTGGCATCTTTGTTCATTCCCATTTGGCTGCAGCATAACATTACCACTATATGGGGTAAAATATACCTCCAGTACTGTCCCATGAACTTGGCACATCACTTTCAAGCACTGATGCTTCCAAAAAATGCCCCTCTGTTCCACAGCAGTGTCATGCAGTGAAGCCAAAGGGATTGGGGCTCAAACAAATAAGTGTCATAATCACTGAAATAAATGTGTATTATTTAGTAACCTTAATTAAAATCCTGGCAGATTCTGGAGCCATATTTCTTGCTTTGTGTTGCTAATCACAAAGCCTGCTTTTTATGTGGTGTCACATTATCAATGCATTCTCTGCTGACTGACTTTTCCTTTTATTTCCAGGCGTTAGTTCATGACTACCTATTTTCTCACTCTTCAGAAATGTCTATAGTTTGTCATGCTTCAGCTTTATGACTCTTGGCATGAGCCCCTAGAGGCAAATGGGCAATTGCTGCTACCATGAACTTGCCTGATTCTTCTCCCAGTCACAAAATTCTGAGATTAGCCATTGAGAGTTACATTCATGCATAGTTGGTTAATATGATGTGGTATGTGAAACAATCCAATCCTGTTCACAAATTCCTGGCATTTCTATATTATTTTTCCATCCTTATTTGGAAATGTGAAATACGTTTGTTACCATGAGTTAGAGTATTTCTCCAAGTACTACAAAAAAAAAATTGAAATTGTTTCCTTGTACTGTCTGTGCATCTGTATCCACTTCTCTTGTCTTATTCTTAGATTGTAAGCTTTTTGGGACAGAAACCATGTTTTTGTTCTGTGTTTGCACAGTGCCTAGCACAATAGGGTCCTGATCCATGACTGGGGATCTTAGGCATTACCACAATATGAGTAAATATATAATTATAATAATAAAAATAATGATACTGCAGTAATTTGAGCTGATCTACCCTAAAGAAACACAAATCAGTGAAAAAATAATTATGGTGATAGTTTTACAATACATACTAGTTTTTCTTTTAATGAATTCAGTGCTTGTGAGAGGTAGATTGTCAGACTCAGAGACTACAGTCCATTTATGCATAGCAAAAGTACAACATGAGCAACAGTACTGCAAGCTTTCTCACAGTATCTCACTGATCTGTTTCAACCCAGCTATGAAGGGAGGAAACGGGAAGGTAGCTTATTCTTCTGGCCCATTCCATCCTTGGATTTCAGTTTTGATGGCAATACTTAGTCACCAGAAATCATCACTGAGACACCAAGTCATTTCAAATCGTAAGCTACTGAAGAACTGTTATAAGGTAATGACTTTCCCTCACTAACAACTCGCCTGGCTTCACTCCGATGAACTAGAATGAAAGACTCTGAGATTTATCAGCACCAAGCGCAAGCCATTTGTGGGGGCAGCTGTTGTGATGTAAGGATGTGGGGGAGGTGACAGAGACCAAAAGCCATCTTCCATTTGGTAAGGCAGGGCTTTGAATTCTAGGGCGGGAGATAGGACGGTGGCAGGTGGCAGCTTACAGCAGAATCTCTTTTCTGGGGTATATAGTGCCTGAATTAAAATAACTGTTAAATAAAAGCTCTCTATGCCTTACTAAGAACACTGCCACATCATTCAGTACCCTGCTCCATAATATGTCTCAGATTTATTTTATTGCCATAAAAGCACAGGGCAAACCTAGATCCTGTGTGAGCCACATGAAGACCCTGTCTGATACACATAGTGACCCTGTGCCTCCTATCTGACTCCCAGCCTCCTGTGGTTCTCTCCTGACTCCATATCAGCATGGCTCCAGTAAAACCATGCTGACAATGCTTCCACCAATCTCTGGAATCCTCCTTTAAAGAAGGCTCTGCAGGCAGAGGTGGTGCATGAAAAAGTTAAGGTTGCCTCAGGTTCTATTTACTTCTCCAAGGCTTGAAAAGGAGTGGGATGTTGTGCATCCCCCTCAGCCCTGCCCCAGCCCTCCTTCTATTCCTGTCCTGTACTCTCCCCACTCCCTCCATTTTACACTTTGAATTTCTTGACTGTTTTCTGGATAACTTTATAACCTTAAAGTTGCACTAACAGAGGACTTTTTTTTTCATTTAATGTCCTTAGGATTTAAAAAAAGAAAGAAGAGAACAGGAACTGAATATATATATAAAATATGACACATATGTCAATGATAACTTAAGGGCCACAAATTAAGAGTTTCATATGACTTCATATGAAGCACCTTTCATATGACCTTACCACTTAATGTACAGTCATACCATGTAATTAGAGGGAATGGGGCTGTGCTAAATGACCTTGGGAGTTACAGGTATGGGGCACTTCAGAGTTTAATACTTTGTTTATTATTTCCCATAATTATGTCACTGAATTACTGAGATTGTTGTATAAACATTATTTAACATTCAGATTACTTAAAAACTCTAAATGAAGCTTTGAAATAAATTCAGATTGGTTCCTAGGGAATTGCTGAATAAGAGAACCAAACCTAGAAAATAAAACCTGCAAAGTTGTTCAGCAAATTGTTTATCTTAGTTTGTAACTTTGCAGGAAATGGATTCTAAGAAAACCCTGCTTCAACCCTACAACCAGAAAAATATTTCAGGGATTGCCAGGGAGGACCCCTTCTGTCACTTCTAGTCAATGGCACCTGCCTATGTTTCCAGGTAGGCTATCACAGGCCAGTTTCATTCATCTCTCTCAGTCATGGACAGTGGCTGGAGGCTCCAGGATCAGTGATAATAAAGGAGGGTTGGGCAGAAGTAACCTCAGTTCTATTCCACCTGGACATTTCTCCCTCACAGCCATCAATCATTAAAGAGTTGATTACATTTACCACCTTAGAGAGATTGACATGCCTGCCACCAGCTTTTGTGAGGATGTCAGATTTATAGATTTAGTGTCTCCTAAGGGATTCCATTTACATTGTTCAGGTATCACAGTATGTTGTGTGGGTTTGGTGCAGCAGAGCACAATCCATGTTTTAACCTTTACCCATTTGATAAATAGGATCATAGCTTTTAGGCTGAGGATGAAGTGCCCTGGTAGTAAAGGTTAAAACAGTCACCTCACTGATTGTGGGGGCAAGCAGTGGGTGATTGGCAGCCATGGTTTTCCCAAGGTTGGGAATTAAGGTATATAATATTGTTAATAAATCATAAACACACTATCTGGAGTAGACATGGGATGTGTCAGCAGATATAGGCAGCCTATATATGTGGAGTTTTGTGTATCCAAGAACAGTAGCTAGCCATAAACTGTTATAAGTGACAGTATCCTTAGTTTATAGGTTAGATGGCAGCTTAGGGACATCATGCCCCCACTAAGTGGTGAATGTGTTCTGAAAGGACTGAGGCCAACGATGGGAAAAGGACTGTTCTTGCCTCTCTCCTTTCATCAGCTGCCAGCTCACTTAGCCTGTGGGTCTAGTTTGTTTTTGTTTGTCTAGTA